AATAAAATAAATAAATAAATAAATAAATAAATGTGACGGCTTGTTCCCCCAAAGCATCTTCCTGCTGCTCCATCCCAAAATCCTTTGTGGAAATCCAGATGTGTCTGGTTGCCTTTTCTGTCAGCGCCCTGCCCTTTAATGTATGGCTTTATTCTTTGCTCATCAAAAGGGGTACGAGTGGGAAGGCGCACAGGTCCCCAAATATCCTTAAGAAACATCCTCTCACTGTCTCCTTCTCGACTCCCCCACTAGGACCAAGGGCCCTTGGAGGAAGATGTTATGAATGTCCCCAAGTCTGAGCAAGAGTCAGCAAGCCCTTTAGAGGTGCAGTTCTCTGTGGAAGCCAGTTGGCTGGGTAAGGATGCTTTACAGAGTTTAATCGTTCCTTTTTCTGCTATTTAAAAGCTGGCCCGTTCTTTGCTCTTACCCCATTTTATATTGCCAGGAAATCATTGTTGGATTTAAGAATCCTTGTTCAACATAAAGCAGGTAAGAGAGTTGTCTGGTATGGGATCAAATAGTATTGGGAAAATGTTCCGAGTGAAACGAGCAACAGGAATGTTAACAAGGGGCACCGTTATTCCATAAAAAAGAACGAGGATCATCAGACAGTTCTCCAGAAAGAAAGAAGGCTGCTTGGGTTGAAACAAGGGCAGAATAAATATGCGTCCGGCATATATATCCATTCAACTATTTTTTTTTGGTAATTTATAAAAGAATAGTCAAATGATGTTACATCATAAACACATGCACAGAAATTCTTGAGAGGCTTCCTTACCTCTGGGCACTGTAAAAATATTCACCTTGAGAGCAAGTAAGAGTTGGTTTTGACTAGTTAGAGAGGAAGGTGGCCGTGTCAATCCATCAGCCCACCTAGGGTTTACTTCAGGAGAAAACATTTCTTGAAGACTATCTAGTTCCTGCTACTGTCTGCAGAATCTCCTTGCTTCATATTTTTTCCTTCGTTCATTAAACTCCCTTCGCAGGAGTGGGTCACACCCTCCGTCCCCCATGGGGACAGCCACACTGACTTCCTTTGTTTTTTCTGCCCCCTGCAAAATCCTTGTTAGGTTCTTGAAAGCCATGGTTGACAGACATGGCAGACATGGTTGACAGACATGACAGAGAAATTCTGGTCTGCAGGTAGCAGTGGTGTTGTTATTACCATTATTTATTCAATTTGCATGCCACCAAATCATTCTGACTCCTGATGGCTTACAACAAAATAAAATACAATAAAAACACTGAAGAATTGTTAGGGGTATGTTTGAACCAAAAACCAGGTTAGAAAGTGGGTTTAGTAATTACTTTTGTTTAATCCAAAGGATCCACCCTTTATTAAGTGTCCCAATAAGCATATGAATTACCCAATCAGTAAGGTTAACTTTATTGGTCACACTGACTACTATGTTTTATTGCATGACTAATAAGTATCTGTAGTTGCCTTGTAACCTACCAAATAAAAGGATATTTTGCATAAGTCTATAAAGAGGACTTGTAATTCCATCTTTCTCAAGGCTTCTTTCTCTTCTGTCTCTGGTACCAATCTTCTCAATCAACCAATTTGTGCTTCAAATGTGATTTGTTTCCTGGAATCCAGTTCATATACACCCCTAGAAGAGTCTCCTTTAGCATCCACCGTAAGAAAACCAAAAAACAAATACAGTAAAACTTCCATGATAAGAAAAGGGGAAAAAATTAATAAACAATTGAAAAGGGACTCCATAGCCCTCCTAACACTAGAATCCAGAGTGACTCAAAAAGCCTAAAGCAACAGTGACAGTAGCGACAGCCTCGTTTAGTGGCTGTTCACAGTTATGACGGTGATGAAAAAGAAACTTTATGACCAATCCTTGCATTTATGACGTTTGCAGGTCTGTAAAGCAAACAAAAGCTGAAGTAAGATTGTAAAATTGTGATGTTTCACTTAGTGACCACTTTGTGTAACGACCAAGCTGCTGGTCCCAATTGTGGTTGCTAAACGAAGACTACCTGTACACCAAACTGGCTCTCCAACAGGTATTACCAAACCTGTCATGTTTAACGTGACAGAAGGGGGAAATTATTAAGCACAGAGCTGAGGAGAAGCAATGTTAAGCTTACTTCCTTTCAATTTAGATCTTAAGGTACTCAAGCCAAGTTGAGTTGTCCTGCTGGCTGCACCCATTACCTTTTGGAGTGTGGCTCCTGGCGTGCCACTGTAAGTCCAGATGCTGTCTTGAGCTGTAATGGGCAGAAGGAATAACCTTGAGGAGCAGGAGGAAGAGCCACAACCAAGACAACAGTCAGATAAAAGAAATCTGAGTCCGGGGCAGAAATGTAACTTGAGAAAGTGTCTCAGACATGACCCACCCTAGTTCTCATGAAGAAAAAGGGATGGAGGGGGGAAGTGCATTCAGATTTACAAGACTCTGTTACTATAACCTTATAATAGAAGTAGTATTAGCTTGTGTGTCTTTGGTTTCCAAGTTTGGTCTACCTTACCCTACCCAGAGGGCTGACATAAGCTAATAAGCTGGTTTACAAGCATTCTGCCTCTTGCCTGCTGACTGTGATGCTCCCCTGTTTCTCCCCATAGGAAATGATGATCCGGAGAAGGAAGAAGAACCTTTCCAACTGGGAAGGCCTGATTTGGAACAAACAGGAGCCGGCACCAAGTCCTTGGAAAGAGCCAAGATGAGATTTTTCCCAGGCCCAGAGCTAGAAGAGATACCTGGAAATCAGCAGGCATCTGGAAAGCTCCAGGACAGCTACCTCTGGAAGCTAGCCGAGAAGGCTTTTCTCTGTGAGGATGCAGAGCGCGAGAGCTTCTTCCAACACAGGATGGAAAAATGCAAGCGGGCCAACAACGCCGGAGCTGCGCTTGGGAGAAACTTCCTCCAGACCCTGGAGGTCCTCAAGAATGACAAGAAGCGCCTTCAGAAGTTCAAATGCTCGTACTGCGGAGCCACGTCCAATATCCGAGCAAACATTGTTGTGCATGAGAGAATCCACACCGGGGAGAAGCCTTACAGCTGCCTAACTTGCAGCAAAAGCTTCAGCCGGAAATCCACCCTGGTCAGGCACAAGAGGACCCACACAGGGGAGAAGCCCTATGCGTGCTCCGTGTGCGGGAAGAGCTTCAGTATCCGGTGTAATCTTCTGCGGCATGAGAGGGTCCATGCTGGGGAGAAACCTTTCCAGTGCTCCTATTGCCTTCAGAGCTTCAGTCGGAGACTTTTGCTCGTGATTCACGAGAGAACTCACACGGAAGAGAAACAAGTATGAAAAATTGCTTAGTCCAGGGGAAATGGCTGCTGTTCGTTTTCCTCTTTTGGCCAATCCAGCAGCCCAGCCACTTCCAAAGCTTTTATAACTCATGCTTCAACTCATTCAGAAGGTTTCTGGCCATCTTCCCCTTTTTCAGATTTGTGCAGATTTTCCTAGAACCATCTCTATATTTTATGTGTCTTCAGCTTGTGGAAAACACCAACCAACATCCATGCTTGGTTGCCTCCAGGCCAGCCAACTGGAGAGTGGTTTGAATTTTTTCGCAGCCTCCCACCTTCACTCAGTGCTCCAATGAGTGAAATAACAAAAATCCTCATTCCCCTTCCATAAAAATAAAATCAGCTTATGAACACTCCCTCCATGCCATGTTACTTGTCTAAATTTGCCATGGTGAGCCCAAACAGCAGGGACGGTCGTCAGAATTCAACTCACAAAGGGGTTGCTTTTGTTGGGTGAGAGGAAAGTGAAATAAGTGCCATAGGAGGCAATTTGTGGATAGGTCTCTGGCCATTGGGAGTTTGGGGAACAAACGGCTATGACAAAATGGAAGGAGGAGAGACTCCAGGTGACTCCAGAGGGCTGGGCTGCCTTGGGGTCATGTCAGCTTTCCCAGCCAGACCAAACAGGAAACACGACCAGATGAGCTAATTCAACTTTATTGTAAGGCTACATTAACAGAGTCTTGCAAGTCAGAAAGTACAAATCTCCCACTGTCTCCTTTACAATCCAAGAAACTAGGGAGGGTCCCTTCTGAGCCTCTTTCTCCATCCGTTATGCAACTGCAGGCAATGCCCTCTCTTATCTGACTGTTCCCTAGGCAGCATCCCTTTCCCCCGTTTCTCAGGGTCTTTCTCACATACCATTACAGTTCAGATGAATGTAGAATGGTGAAGATGACCACTAGTTTCTGAATTAAGGGGTTTATTGAGAAAGCCCTCCTGGGCCAAGGCGACTGCTCCGTAAGCTTTGGAAACCAAGCCTGAGGTCTCCAGCACTTTGAGTCAATCTTAACTCCTGGCAACTGCCTGGACTGGTTCCTGCAGTTTTCTTGGCAAGATTTTCAGAAGTGGTTTGCCCTGGCCTTCTTTTTCCTAGGGCTGAGAGAGAGGGACTGGCCCAAGTTCACCCAGCTGGCTTCATGCCTAAAGCAGGACTAGAACTCACGATCTAGTCACCAAGCTGGCTCTCTCCCCCAGCATAATAGCAATGCCAATAATGTTGCCAATTTCAAAGCAGGAAATGGTCTTGCTTTGATGAAATGCTGAGTGGGAGAAATAAATATTGGTTTAGATAGGAGCGTGGGTGTCCACGAAGGAGAAATGGTGACATGTAAGTCATACTGCATTGTGCAAAAGACACAAATTATGTTCTTGGGAAATGGTGCAAAGGAGACACCTGGTTGCATCATTTGCACAATGGTGTCATGAGATGCACGTCGCTTGGACATCCTTGTGGCTTGCAATAGATGCCTGTCAACATGAGATGGCTTCTGCATCAGGAAAACTGCTAATGAGTTGGCGGACTAATTCTGTCAGTGGATTAAAAATGATGTAAGGAAAGTCCCTCCTTTCTGACACAAATGCAAGGAAAAATAATTGAGTTAGAAGCGTGACTGCAAATGTGACTAAGTATGTGCAATTCAGGAGTTAGCAACCTGTTTGGGCACCCAATTATGAGATCTGCTGAATATTTTCATCGTGGAAATCTCAAAAGATTTCAGCTGTCTTGGACTGTTTTATTATTTTTTAAAAATACTACATTTAATATAATCCAGGAGTCTATGGGTATCATGGTGCCAACATTTGGGTAATATCCTTTGTTGGCATATGTCCTTGCAGGAGTGTCCGTGGGGATGTTTGTGTCAAAAAAGGCAATAGAATGGCTACAACCATGAGATGAAAACCCTGCCCTGGATTCGACCCTCCTTCACTGGAGGTCCTTATTTAACGGGGGTGGGAGATGGCCATCTACTAGAAACGTTGTAATAACGGATTCCTCCATTGGGCAGAGAGTTGGACTAGGTGATCTCTGAGGTCCCTTCCAAGCCTTTCATTCCATGATTCTATAGCAGGAAACATTTCCACCACTGAGAGCTGTTCAACAGTGGAAATGTCTGCCTAGGGAGAGAATGAACTCCTTCAGTGGAGGCTAATGACCATCTATTGGGGATACTGCAGTAGTGGATTCTGGACTGGGCAGTGGGCTGGACTAGACCATCTCTAAGATCAGTAACAACCCTTACATTCTCTGATTTGTGGCTCCAAATTGGAGCAAGAACAATTGGACTCTGATGAAGAGAGTGCCAGCTGTGAGAAAATGTTCAAGGAGAAAGTGGTTCATGGAACCATTGGAGGAGGAGAAGAGGAGGAGGAGGAGAAAGAAGAAGAAGAAGAAGAAGAAGAAGAAGAAGAAGAAGAAGAAGAAGAAGAAGAAGAAGAAGATGATCTAATTGATTCCTTAAAGTGGTTGCCTCTTTTTTTCTGTCTCCTGTGGAAGTGTGGAAGAAAAGGGGTTCAATCAAGAGCAGAGGGGTCCTGCCCTTGTGGGAATCCAAACCCTTCTGGAAAGCCTGCATAGCCATAGTCCTGCAAAGTAGGAGTTCTTTGTAGGACCGCAAAGTATATTTAGCCTTGCAGAGAGATGACCGAGGAGAGGACACAATCGGATGTCTGCAGGGAGGGTCGAAAAAGTCAAGATGGTGGCTGTGACCCTGTCATCAAAGCCCCACCCCTTTTTTGCAGTGCATGTAGAAAAGGGGCTTTGTCTGCACAGTCGCAGCCTCCCTCTTGACTGCGGAACCCCCGGACATGATAGTCCTCTTCAAATACCTGATAAAATATCAGAAGGAAGAAGGCCAAACCCGTTTTCCTTCCTTCCATAGTGCAGAATACAGATTAAAGGATTCAAGTACCAGGAAGGCAGGTTCCTGTGAATGTCAAGAAAATCTTCCTGACTGTAACAGCACGTAGACGGTGGAACTGATGCCCCAAGCCAGTGGTGGCCTCTCCTTCCCTGGATGGGAAGGCATTCAAGAGTCTATTGGAGTTGGCGGCTATGATAAATTTTGAATGAATGAATGGATCAATCAATAAATCTATCTGTGATGATTTAATTTGGACCCCCAAATTCAACAGCCTAAATTGCCGCTTGCAATTCTGATTCTTCGAGGCGCACAAGACTGTCATTGAAGACGCGCAGAATGCCTTGTCTAGCCTCCCCTTCAAGAAGTGCATTTTGTGAGTGTCTGATTGTAGGCCCTACAGTCCTGATGGGTTAGGGTTCTTAGCATTCTCAGGGCTCCCTCGGCAAGCGTTGGACCCAAAACAGGGTTCTTGCCTGGAGATGACTGCCAATAACTTCGCTGGAGACGAGAAACCTTTAGAAGTTTCCTTTACTGTGGCACAGCAATGAAGGGGCTGCCTCTGTCAAAAGAGGCGCACCAAACACAAAGAAATCGGGTTCTTTATACATTAAGTTCACGAAAACACAGCCAAAAGGAAGGATAATGATTGGTTTGGAGCCTCTTTATGACCATACCGGTGCAAACTTAGGTTATAATGATGAATGACTGTCGGGTGACGTCTTGTTATCATAAAGAGACAGTAGGCCTGCAAGGGACAGTATACAATACTAGGAAGTCTGGTATCAGAAAGAGATAATATCCAGGGAAGGGTCACTAAGTTAGTTTGCATTTATGTATCTCTACCATCAGGAAGGGCACTGAAAAGGAAGGGGAAATTGCAGGCTAATTCCTCTGTGCCTTGGAAGGTTTCAGATATGGGTTACTACATCCTTACCCTAAAGAAGGGTCACTAAGGTTAAAAGACCCATTATAGGTTAAGGCTGGGAGGGATCAACTATAGATTCTTGCTTTCCCACAGGAATTGCACGTACAGTATTTCTCCATTTTGTGCCCCTCACAAGAGTGCCCCTCAACATGGGCTGAGTGCTTACATCAAAGCAAATGTTTCCCCCACCTAATGCAGGTTAAGGCCAGAAAAGCAACCTACACAATATTTCACCCTTTAAAGAAGGCAGAGATATTAAACCTAAAAAAGTAGGATTCCATTTCCGGAAATTAAAAAGAAGGGTGGGGGGGAGAAGCAATAAAGGCAATTTTCTTCCTCTTTCCTTCGCCTTTGAAAGAGTTAAAACCGCAGAGCGGCACCGCCTAGACCTGCCCGGAAGTGCAAGCGGCGGCGTGCATTTCCCTTTCCTGTCCTTTCCTCTTGGCTGGGAGGAAGTGGCAGCCGCAAAAGCCTGTCGGATTGTCTGCAGTTGGCCGCTGGGCAGCGCGGGGAGCGGCCCGTTTGGGGGCCTCCGGTTGGCAGGAGGTGAGTTTCGGCGGGACGGGCCAGCAGCGAAGGGGGCTTGCATGCAACCTTCCCCACATCTGGTGCCCTCCAGTTCTGTAGGATGCGGCGCCCATCCTCCCCAGCCCTGCTGGCTGGGGGTGATGGGTTTTGTAGTCCAGCCCCCCCCAATCCTGACAGGGCGCCGGCTGAGGTGGGAGTGTTGAAAGGGGTGAGGATCGCCCCACCCCAAAGAAACAAAGCCCCACCTTAGTCAAAAGAGATGATGATGATGGTGATGATCCTCCTCCTCCTCCTCTTCTCGGCTGCTATGTATTTTATTTAATGTTATTTTTGTCTTTACGATGGAAATTTGTTTTTCCTTTATTCTCAGATTATTCCCCGCCCAGAGTCCCTTGCTGAGGCGGGCGGCATACAAATTGAATGAATGAATGAATAAATAACTTCGGTGTATATAGTTGCCCATCTCTCATACGAGACTCTAGGCACCTTGCAATAAAATAGGTAAAATGCACAATATAAAAATAAAACCCACAGCAGCCAAGCCATGCTGTTTCTTTCACTGTCTGTCTGTCGGCCGGCCAGTTCTATTATGCTGTCACGCGAGTGACATAATAAAAGCAGACGTGGGTGGGCAACAAAGTGAGGGGCATGGTGGGAATAATACCTGAGGAACAAAGGAAGCGCTCGGGTGGGTAACGGCAGAGGGTCTTTAACTGCTGTCAAAGGAAGGCTGTCCAGCACCTTTAAAAGTCTTTGGGTCGCATGCCCCAACATCCAAATTACGCAATGATGCTATTGCCTAGAGCCTCTTGGCAGCAGAATAAGGAGAAAGCTAAAGAAAATGTTATTTCTTTACAGCTTGCTTGCTCCACTTTGCAGAAAAGCCGCTGTGGGATTTCTGTGGCTCTCTTCCCCATTTCTGTGAGCCCCTGTCCTGCTGTTCTTTTGACCCCCAACCCAGTCATTCTTACGGCGTCACCCCCTCCCAGCATCCTCTGCTACCTCCCTCCCAAGGCCATCTGCTTCCTGCCATAATTTCCGTCTGTCGTTTCCTGCCATCTTTGGGTACCTACTTTTCCTGTCTCCTTTCCATGACGTTGCTCCTGCAGTTGGTTTTGAGTTATGGCTCCCCTGGGTGACAGAAATATGTTTCCTGGGTTATACAGCAATGATTTTTCCTGTCCTCGAGTTAACATTTGTACCTTGTAACATCTGTCTTGACTTTGCTGGTCAAGACAGGCCTATATAATATCTTTGTGTACCCACCTTGACTCCTGCTAATGCGACCTCAAATCCTCCTTCATTTTTGTTCTAGCACAGCATACAAGGTAATGCTGGGGTAATTACCTTGTATGCTGTTAATTTGCCTGTTAATTTCCTACAAAACCAACAACCAAGTGCTGATCTCCAATACTGTAGGAAATTCAAAGAGTTGCCACTGCAGCTAGGGAAGACGGACAAAGGCCATTGACTGGGGGAATAGTGTAGCAGAGGAGATCTTCCCTAGGAGTCTTCAGACTCTGATATATGGCAAGCGTCGAGAAGAGAGCAGTATAGGATGTGACAGCAAAGGCATCCAGGCTGTTTAATAGTTCATTCCCTCCCCATGGGATCTGAATTCCCAGGAGACGAGCATTTATGTAAGGCTTTTAAAATGGATTAGGGATTATTAGAGAAAAAAGGATATCTTTCTGCTATTATAAATCTGCATACAGGGAGTCCTCACGTTAAGAACACCCGGGTTACAGACGACCCCTTGTCAAGAACGGAGCCTATTGTAGCACAATCCGAGTTAAATACACAATGATTTGAGTTAAATACACAATGGTTCAAGTTCATTCCGCAATACTACTTATATCAGTGTTTCTCGACCTTGGCAACTTTTAAGATGTGTGGACTTCAACTCCCAGAATTCCCCAG